AAAACAACCAAGCTCAGAGAACCCCAAGGACTCCACAGTTCAACCCTGAGCTACACATATTCACTTCTATTGGTATCTTGTACTCAAGATACTTATTAAGAATTTATTCTGGGTTATTTCCATCTAGACTACCTTTTTACCATTCCAAGTTCTAGAGTTGTACAAAGTAGCAATATTAATTTGGCCTGAAAGGTGTTGAAAGCTGGTTTGCACCTTCCCTAGAACAGTAAAATTTTAAGATGTTTCCCGCAATGCATTGAGCAGTAATTAAAGCCATACTCAAGGGTGTCTTCTAGGATAGAGATCCCTGGAAAGTAACACCTAGACATTTGAAGAGCTTGACTAACGCATTTACACTTAGTAGTTTTGCTACCAAAAGCCACCTCTTCTCTTTTTCAATCTCAGCTTTTCCCTATCACAAGAATCGGTCAGTCCAGTCAACATTCTTATCTCTACCTCCACAAAAAATAAAAGGGCTATGCCATCGGTATACATCAAAATCAGAATTTTATGACCATGTAGCAAGAGGAGGATGAAAGTTTTAGGACCCAGTAGCTGCTCTATCATTAGCAAAAAATAAATAAATAAATAAATAAATACTGTAAATATAACCAAACAGCAGCTTATTTAATGCTTCTTGATGAGAAAATAAGCTAATAAGTACCCGTTAACATTCCATTCTGACTCTAACTGATATTTTGGAATGCAATTCAATCAAGAGCTTTAAAAGCCAGTCATCAAGGTTCATTTTCCTAAGCTTTTCCCACAGTCTTGATCTACTGGCTAAGTCGAAAGCTGACATGAAATCCAGAGAGATCATGTGAAAATGGGAAGCTACAGAATACTTCTCTATTAATACCATCAGTACAAAACAATGGTTGATTGTACTACAATTCCTCAAAAATGTTCCTGCTTTGGATTAAGATCTCTTTGCGTGGTCCTCCATCTTATTCAGGAGATGGTGAGTGCAATATCTGGGAGAAGCATCCCAAAGGTTAATCGGATAGTAATTTTTTTTATATTTCTCATAAACTGCAAGGAGGATAATTTGCTTCCAAATGGAAGGAAAAACAAAGATGTTGACTTCAGAGAAAAAAAGGTCTTGCAAGTATAAGAGACTACCAGGGGTGTTGGGTTTAAAGACTTAGGGGGGCACAAGTCATCACTTGGGACTTTCCCCAGTGTCAATTTAGTAAACAGCTCCTTGCACTCTGAGTGTGAAATTACAGGCCACTTTGGGAGAGGAGCTCACTCAAGAAAGAAGACATGATACCCTATACTGTATAATCTTGAGAGCCACTACAGACAGTTGAAAAGTACGAAACTGCTGAAATATGGACATCTGCGATGATGTTCTTGGGCTGCCAGCAGATGCTACCATTTCCCAGATCACTTTTTTCTTTTACAAAAAGGCTTACGTTCTTTCCCATCGCAGAAGATGGTTAGAAAAGTCTGTGCTTTCGGAAACAGCCTATACTGGGATCAAGTTCATAAGCAAACCAAAGCCACGGCTCCATCCATTCTGCCCAGGGCCTATCATTTCCAAGAGCTTGCATGAAGTCTTCATCTAATGCTTCTAAGTTTGGTTTGTCATTGTAAGAAGACACGATTCAGCACCCATGTTATGGAAGGAGAAATAAGATATTTTGTCTGAATGACTTTGCAGTAACATCTGCCAAGAAATTAGCAGAGATGTTTCATTCATTCATTCCATTTAGGCACCAGCTGTGCTTGAGATGTCTGACAGGGGTGAGCCCCTCCGGCTTGTAACCTATCCCAGATGGGCAGGAGGAGCAAGGGATCACCAGAAAATGACTAGCAGGACTATGCAGCACTTCCAATTCATTCTGCAAAAGGTGCTTTGAAGCATGTGGGAATTAAAGCAGCTGCATGTGATCCTGAGAAAAGCCATGCTGTTTTAATGTGGGAGACAAGAGCTATGTTCACCCTCCTGCACAGTAGAAACCACCTTTTGGAAATCAGATCCAATGTGCTGCACAGCCATAATAACTAATGGCTGCCAAACCCTCTCTATTATAGTTATTAAAGGGCAAACTCAAGATAGGTGTGCCATATGTGCGCAAACATATTTCAAAAGGTGAGGGGAGCATCTTGGCTACACTTGGCCACAGGCCATCCTCTAAAAAGCAGTCATGTGTATTTATTTACAGTCAGTAATCAGCGAAGTAGTTCCAACACTAAAACAACACATAAAAGCAGGCTCAAATACAATAAGAGCAATAAAACCACCATATAGGCTTGCCAGTTAGAATTTACACATATAGCAAGCAAACAAACGCAAGCAAAATAAAACAAAGCAAAACTAGTGAAAATAAAAATAAAATTAAGATAAAAGAATAAAAGGGCTTCCCCGTGATATCATTCCAAGATTAGCCCTTCTTATGGCAATAGCTGCTGCTAAGAACTTGGCATAGCAGGGTTCTGGTCTGAGAGTAAGAAATAAACTTCTCCCTAATAGTAGTAGGTAGGGCCAGTAGGTAAATGTGTGCATGCCTTTAACGGACAAGCCTTTTCTGTATGAGCCCCACCTTGTGGAATACTGTCCTTCCAGAATACCTGCAGCTTGGCACTTTGCTGCAATTCTGGAAACAGGTTAAAACTGCTTTGTTTCAACACCCCTGTGATCCCAGCTGACTGACCTGTGGTTTTAGTTGAGATTTATCTTTGCTATTTGTGACTTTTTTTTTGTTTTTGACATTCTTCTGATTTACTCATGTATTACAATCTTTGTGGTTTTCATTCTGTTAATATGGAATGCCATCCCAAGTACTTTGGGACTGGGGTGGGTTATAAGTACCGCCAAGTAAGAAATAAGTAAGTAAAGAAAGAAATGCTCATATGATTACTCTGTTTACAGTAATTGCTTCCCCTTCTGTCACATTAAGTATTATCATTTGGTGACCACTTTTGGAAGTTTGGGATACTGCACCCAAGGCTTTCAAAGACCTAAAACCTTGGCACCCCAGATTGTACATTTTTTATTTAAAGATTTAGTCAGAGCTGTTTCCTATCTTTATATCCCAGAACAGAAGAATTTCCCTGCTAAGTTAGACTAAAAGTCCATAATCTAGCCCAGCCTCTGCTTCTAAGCAATCAGCCCGATGTCCTTAAGAAGTCTGATGGCAAGAAACAGCTGCAGTATCTTCCTACTGCCATGTATTCTTAGATGTACTGCCTTCGTATCTGGAGTCTCTGCTTAGTTGTGGCATCTTATGGCACTGATAAAACGCTATCCTACAAACAACACTCCAGGCTTTTCAAAAAAGCCACCACACCTACTGACCATCATCTCTTCTTGAATTAGTGGATTCCCATCATCATTTGAGCCTCTAGCCTGGCTGGTCACAGGCATAAAAAGCATTCTGGACAGACAGTTGGGCTGAACATGCATGGCAAATGCAACATGCCTATTTCAGAGGCATGAGCTTTACATGGGAATGTTACTTCAAGCTATGAGTGTGGGGTGGCCATGAGCACCTCCAGTGGGAAGCTGAGGAGCAACTGCCCCTGTGCTGACAGAGGATGACAAGCACAGGGAACAATGAGATAAATCAACATGGTAAGAAAGGTAGCTTTCCCCGAAGTGTGAGCTACTTGTCCCCAACAAGCTAGGGCACATTAAAGTTCTTATGCTGGAGAAACACAGCTCTTGAGGGCATCCATCAAGGAGATCACAGTGTGGAATGAACCTGCAAGTCCTGACTTATAGAAAAGTGCTTTATTCGGAGTGGCATTCCAAAACTCAATTCACCTTGCTTTTACCTTTTTTTCCAGCTTTGATCTGAATCTCCAAACTGCTGAACTGCAAAATCATGGACACTCTGCAAGTAAAACCCCAGGTATTGCATGTATTCTAAATATTCAGCTAAAAATATTGGGAAATGAGAATCTCTTCTGCAGAGGCACCTGGAAGGGGAAGTGAGGGGGGTCAAGGGAGGGCAAATGATAACAGCAGTGCTACCCTGAAAACTCTGGCCCTTTTGTAGGTGCATCGTGGTGGTGCAAGACCTCTTTTATTGTTTTGACAAAAGTGTCAGATTCTGCAGACACTTCCCTTCTTCAGGTTGTTTCAACTTCTGTTTTGCAAAGAACATACTGACAACATCCTTCTCAAGAACAAGGATTAAGACAGATCATATTTGCTGAGACTGTAGGGGTTGCAGAGGCAGAAACTGCTCTTACAAAAGAAGAGATTAAGGGCTTAATCCCTCCAAAACCTGCTCGTGCACTCTTGCAACCAGCTCCCAGGATAGCTCAATTCTGGTCTGAAGTTGAAGCCCAGCTCAGTTTTTCAGGATGCTACTGCCCCCAGTAGCTGCCAGAGAGAATCATTGGCAAAACAGTTTGCTTCCCCAGCAGATCTCTTTCTTACAACATCCCCATCTCAGCAAAAGCTTCAGCAGATGAAAAGAAATTCCCAAGGACATTCGCCACCTTTCTTCCTCCATCAACCAACTTTTACATTCTTCTAACAAAGCACTCAATTGCATATCCTCAGCCTTTAACACAACTGAGCAAAGCCATTTTTGTGGACTTCCCAAAGCTTGGCACAGATCAAAACTTAGTTCTTTCTCCCAAAGATGACAATGTGGGGCATTTACAGGGGACAAAGGAATGCTTAAGCTCTCCTCTCATCATATCTCCTGATTCTCCTCTGCAAAGAGACAGCCTTCCACTAACATTACCTTTAAGGGAGAAATCAGGCTTGTTTTCCTCTTAACATCTGTCTCTCTTCTAAGAGCATCTTTGAGCCACATGCAAAGTTCATTAAAGCAAAAGGAGCAGCTGCAGATCACTTAAATGGAATTTGCCCCAATCATCTGTGATCAGGGGTCAGTGTTTGTACATAATGTAAAGATTGAAGCTGTGTATTCCAGGAAGTCGAATACAAGCATTTTACAAGCTTAGTAGCTCTAAGCTCCGGATATATCATATTCAGAAAGTCTACTTATTTACTGCTTATTGATCTGTTTATTTACCTTGGCTGCACTGTGTGTTCTCTTTCTGCATTGTGAGAGGATGAAAGCTAAGGAAAATGGGCTTTTGATTAAGAGTGAGTCAGCCATCACATGGATGCTTCTTGAGAAAACCTTGCTAAATCTCATGATTAATTGCTATAGCACTTTTAACAGACAACCCACCTAATGAAGAGTTAAGAAACCAAGTGTTCACAATGAACTTGCTAATCACCCCCAGCAGCCCCTTGTTAACAATTCAATAGAAGAAC